ATTATTATTTAATATATTTAATAATGTTATTTATTTAATATATTATTACATGTTTTCAAAAATTAAACCATCAAACGCAGTTTCAGTTTTTTTTAAAACTGAAATCAATCTCTAAATAAAACTACCAAAGGCATTTTTAGAAATAATTCAAAAATGAAACTAAAAACGTTTTCATTTTCATTTTCGTACAGAAAATAAAAACGTTTTGGAATCAATTCCAAACGCACCCATTGACTTTCCACTTGTTCTTTCTCCAAACATCAGGTTCACGATACAATAGTAAATTAGGTTCGTTCACTTCATCGATTTGAGTTTAAAATTTGAGTTTTGCTACAGTAAAAAGTTATCAGAAACAATCACATTTAATTTTTTTGTTACAGTAAAAAACTCTCACATAAAATCACATCTCAACTCGAATTACAAACTTAAATCAGCGAAGTGAATGAGCCCTTAATAATTTATTATTCCGATGGAAACTTTTCTTCCATATGATGACTTGAGGATTTGATTGATCATGTCATATGATAAATGAGATGGTTACATGCTTACTCGTGACTTTGACTTTGAAAGTTATATCATATGCTTCAACTTTGATGACTTACAAGATGAATATCTGAGCTATATATGTATATATAGAGGCTTTTTTATAGTCACTTTAAAATCGTCTCTCTAACGTAACGTATTATTTAATATAATACCAATGTTAAAAAATGAGATGTCAAGATATTTAAATATCTCTAGTTATTATTACACCTTTTTAATATTGTTAATAACCAATATATGAGATAGTCACAATTAATGGTGTTACGTCTGTATAGTGTTTATGTTCTATTAATTAATTATCATGTTATGTTAGAAAATACGTTAAATAACTATAATGTTACGATTTTTAATTATATACGTTATGTTGGTGATGGACGGTCCTCTAGAGACAAAATTTATATATACAGACATATATCATATATGTGTCGGTTTCATAACTCACATGCATGGAATGCTGATTTTTCTAACTCACGGGATTCGAGATCATTGTCCTGACCTTGCACGACCATGCATAGTATAAGGATGCAAGGATTCCTCCTCCTTCAAGGTATAAATTAGGATACTTGGCAATGAATGACAAATGTATTAAATATGGTTAATCTCATAAATGGTTTTTATGAGGTTTAGCCTGATCAATTTTATTTTAATTCTTGATTTTTTAAACGTTACATAGTTAATTTTTGAGATTTTATTTTGTTTCTATTTCAGTCTTTAAGTTAGTTTGATGTTATATATTTGACGGAATTTATAGAAATTATAGATTAAAATTAAAAACATATAAAGTCATAAGACTAAAACAATACAAAAAACTAATCGTTAATTTCTATAGATATACTCAAAATTTTAAGTGTTTCTAATTTTATATTCTAATTTACACAAGATCTATCAAATTTTGACGCTTAGTAAAAAGATTAACATTAAAACAAAATAAAACTTCAAGAACCATTTATGCAAAGTTTGAAAAGTCAAAAATTAAAGTGAGATTAAGTGTGAATCTCCACAACCATTTGTGGAATTAACCTATTAAATATAAGCCAAGTTGGAAATGAAAAAAGTGGGAGGATTTATTTTATTTTATCTATGTGGGTATATTGCTGGAACTAAAAATATCATGATCTTCAGCAGTTTATCCAGCTTCCAGAATATGAAAATCTTTCCCGTTCCAACATCTCGTCCAAAAAAAAAAAAAAAAAAAAAAACCAGAAACACGTAATTGAGCGAAATAGCAAAACCGGTATTACAACACTGAGCGATGTGCTTTTTATGGTCGTATAAAAATGTTTAATCACTTTTTATAACTGCTGACATGCTTAAAACAAGGGCTTTTTTAGTATAGAATCCGATGCTGTGAATGCCATTTTTGCTATCGGAGGTAGTTTTTATCAGTATCTTCTCACTCAGACTGATTTTGAATCATGTTCCTCTGTTTCCCGTGTGCGCACTAGAGTTGCTCTAATCTAGTCAATTTAAGGGGGTTTTTTTCTTTTTTCTTTCTTTCTTTTATTGATGTTTCTATTTCTAGTTGCATTTCTATTCCCTGGGCGATTGCTCCTGTGGTTATTGTTGATCTAGTCTATTACTATTATATAAATGGGAGGCCCCCAGGTCACTATTTAAAAAAAATAAGATAATGAAGCCGATGATGTCATTTAGTTTTGGGAAAAAATGGAGGGTAATTGGTTCTATTAGTTCCTCAATTTTAGTTAAAGTAATATTTTAGTCTTTAGTCTAATTTTCACATATTAATCTTTAAATTTTTATGTTTTGACATTTTTGATCTCTTACACTAAAATTGATGAACGATTTCTGAAATATAACAAAGATAATCATATAATAACTTTTTACACAAATAATTACATTGCATGTATTATTAAA